AAAAAAAAAAAAAAAAAAAAAAAAAAAAAAAAAAAAAAAAAAAAAAAAAAAAAAAAAAAGAAGTACAAATCGTTTTAATAATTATTTGTAAAGTGAAGAAAATTTAAAGCTAAAATGACCGCTTACCCAACCGTTTGCTGTCAAACACAGTCATCGAGCCAACGCCAGCAACCACCGTGCGGGGTAATTTCGTCTTTTTGATAATAAATTTTATTTTATTTTTTGTTTTGTTTTGTTTATAAACTTAAAATTTTTAAAAATTAACGGATTCTGTAAATATAAATTCTAATATTTTTATTTTGTTTTCTTTTTGAAATATGGAGGGTTATAATGGTAATTTCAATGATTCAAATCTGCAAATAAATACCGTTCAAAAATGGCGATAAGATATCCGGCAATAAGAGTCGCACCTCTTCTGCGAGCGTATTTTGAAGCGATAGAGGCAACCATCTGATCGTCAATGGCGGAGAAAAGCAAAGTTCTGATCATCGGAGGCACTGGCTACATCGGAAAGTTCGTGGTGGAGGCGAGCGCCAAAGCTGGCCATCCTACTTTTGCTCTGGTCAGAGAGAGCACCGTTGCGGATCCTGTAAAAGCAAAGCTCGTCGAGAACTTCAAGAACTTGGGAGTCAAATTGATCACTGTAATTTCGAAATGATCTCTCGCTTTTGATTTTTGTGATTGATATGAAATTTTTGTAGTGTTGCGTAAGTTGTTGAAATTGGAGATTTGAAAATGGTGCAGGGAGATCTTTATGATCATGAAAGTTTGGTGAAGGCGATTAAGGAGGTGGATGTCGTGATTTCAACGCTTGGCCAAATGCAATTGGCGGATCAAATCAAGATCATTGCTGCAATCAAAGAGGCCGGCAATGTCAAGGTACTCAAGTTTTGATCCGAGAGTATACAAAAACAATTATAACTACCTATCCAATAGGTCTAATATGTTCGATTAGTTCTTGAAAGTGTATAGGAATTCGAACTATCAGTTTCGTGCTTGATATTAAGTTGAATCTTCATACTCTGCATGTTGTATCGTATTTGATGTTTATAATTAACGCTTGAAAGTGTATATGTTTGTAGATTTCGAAATTTGTGTTTCACTAGTTCTTGAAAGTGTATAGGAATTCGAACTATCAATTTCGTGCTTAATAAATTATCAATAGGTAGTTAAGTTGAATCTTCATACTCTGCATATTGTATCGTATTTGATGTTTAAAATTAACGCGGCAGAGGTTTTTTCCTTCGGAGTTCGGGATGGATGTGGATCGACTCCACGCAGTTGAGCCAGCAAAATCTGTATTGGCAGTCAAGGCCCAAATCCGTAGGGCAATTGAGCGTGAAGGGATTCCCTACACTTATGTGTCCTCCAACTATTTCAATGGCTACTTTCTACCCACTCTGTCGCAGCCGGGACTCACCGCGCCTCCTCGAGACAAAGTCGTCATCCCTGGCGACGGACACCCCAAAGGTTAGCCACTCTCATAAATTTAGATAACTCCTTCAAATTTTTGTGAAAACACTCTGTATAATGAGAAGTCCATCCACCATGTAGCGGTTTTTAACTTGGAGGAAGATATTGGTACTTACACTATCAAAGCCGTGGACGATCCAAAAACTGAAAACAAAATCCTCTACATCAGGCCGCCCAAAAACACCTACTCTTTCAATGATCTTGTCGCATTGTGGGAGAAAAAGATCGACAAAGTATTGGAAAAGATCTACGTTCCAGAGGACCAAATCCTCAAGGACATTCAAGGTCAGTTTCCTGTACAGCTAATTAAATTTACCGTAATCCATATGCTTAATGCTTGATGATTGGTGTTTATCAGATGCTCCACTTCCATTAAATGTGATATTGGCGTTGAATCACTCGGCGTTTGTAAAGGGAGATCAGACGAACTTCGAGATTGAGCCATCATTTGGAGTGGAGGCGTCGGCGCTGTACCCAGAAGTCAGGTACACCACTGTGGATGAGTATCTCTCTCGATTTGTTTGAAGGAAACTTGGGGCTGCCTTTCTTGCTGAGTTTTGTGGGTGTATCAGTAATGAATCATTATGCATACCGTTTGTTTCTTCTTTCCCTTGCTGAAGAGTGTTATGTTTTATTTGTTTTTGGTTTCTTGGCTGCTGTTGTTCTATATGTTGTTATGTGTTTGATCATGAATGATAGTTTTTACTTCCAGAAATAAGAGGATTTTGTCTCACTGACCTAATAAATAAATGACATTCTTCCGCCATTGATGGAGCTTTTTCACCTTCAATCAGCTAGTAATTGAATTTTATACAATAATAAACAAGTCAACTAAAAAAACAAAAAGAAACGAAGCAGTAAATAAAAAATTATTAAATTTATTTTTTGCTTAAAAGATAAGATATTTACAAATAATTTCCATTTCCATTTTTTTATTTACCAAAAGGTTAAAAATGTTTTGTATTTTCCAAATAAATAATATTTAATTTTTATTTTTAAATCATACAATACTCAGACCCTTCAACGTCGTCACTATGACCTTTCCAGCACCAGCCATGAACCTCCGTAACGGCACGGCGGTTCCCGGAGGCAGAGCAGTCGATGGCGCCGGCGCCGGTGCTGTAATTGGTGTTGGGATGGCCGCCGGTGAGGTCTGTTCTTCTACCAAAACTTTTAACATCTCATATTTTCTGGTCAATCCCACAATTTTTCTACTCATTTGAATCCCTCCGATTTTCCCATCTGCCAAACACAAAATTACCACAAAATTTAGTTTATATTTCTCACGCTTTTATCGGTTATATATTATCGTCAGTCTCAAGATTTTATAACTTGTCTATTAGGGAGAGGTTTCCACACCTTGTAAGAATGCTTCGTTTTTCTGGAGAGATATTTTCTGTTTTGGCCCGTTACGTATTGCCGTTAGCTTCACGATTTTAAAACGTGTCTAATGGGGAGAGGTTTCCATACCCTTATAAGGAATGCTTTGTTTTCCTGTACTAACAATATTTTCTATTTTGACCCATTATGTATTCACGGTAGAATTTTAAAACTTGTCTATTAGGGAGAGGTTTCCACACTCTTGTAAGAAATATTTCATTTCCCTGAGATATTTTCTATTTTGGCATGTTACGTATTGTCGTTAGTTTCACAGTTGTAAAACGTGTCTATTAGGGAGAGGTTTTCACACCCTTGTAAGGAATACTACGTTTCCTTCTACTAGTAGATATTGTTCGTTTTGGCCCATTACGTAACGCCGTCAGTCTCACGATTTTAAAACGTGTCTATTGGGGAGAGGTTTCCACACTCTTATAAGGAATGCTTCGTTTTCCTCTCACATGAAAATAGATTGAGGAACGGGGGAGAGATTAATGAATAAGAATGTTATTAGACGAGCGTTTACCTGGAGATTGGGACGAGAGCGACGACGTTTTTGAATTCTCGGAGAGGAAAACGAGGGCGGGAGTGAGAATGGTGAGGAGAGACCAGAAGAAGAAGATTAAAACATAGGCTCGAGGGGTCATTTGTTGTAGGGAGAAAGGCAAGAGAGAGGCAATGGGTTAAGGGAATAATAATAATAATGTGTTGCTTTAAAGCAAAAAGGGAAAGGTATTATGGAGTTGGTAGAGGCAATGGAAGTCCCTAATAGTATTAGCTGGCCATGTTAATGTAACCATTTATTTATTAATTTATTAATTTATTTATTATTACAAATTCAATTATTTTTTATTTTAAATTTATAATTAGAGAAGTCAAGTTAGTTGAGAAATACTTGTTGGGAAGCTTGTTATCACTACTTCTTCCAAATGTTAAATAATTTCAATATGGATTTAAAAAAAAATTGATCCGACAATCCTTGATTCAATATGATGCGAACTCTTACGTGAAAAACTAACATTTTTAATTCATGGTCTAATTCGAAAACATTTGAATTATACCTTATTTTCTTCTAAAATATAGATTTTATACTCGAACTCTTCTGTTCCACGTGGCGTGAAAAACTAGAAAATACCCGATTGAATTATACCTTATTTCCTCCTAAAAGAGTTGTTTTTTTTCCTGGAGGAATGGTTTAGGTCCTCTCGACATGGCTACATCATTAGGAGTGTTTTTATTTGATTGATTGCTTGTTTTCTCGTCTTGGCATCCCGTCATTGGAGAATGAGCCTATATTATAAGTGTAACTTAATCAGATAAGCTCGAAAGAACATAAACAATTAACGTATGAGCCTTCTTTACTGTGTAGGATGTCGAAAGAGCACACGTACGTATCTTTTAACTGAACCCAACAAATATTAATTGGATATTTTCATTTTTTTCCCATCAGAAAAGAAAAAAAAATAAAAATACAGAAAAGAAAATTATAGTATTAGAGCCTAAAGTCCTAGACAAAACAAACAGAAGAAGAAAAACTAAGTATAGGATATATTGTGGTCAACACAGATGAGAAAATCTATTACAACATCCACATTAACACTTAGGCAATGGCTCGAAGACAGAAGCACTCGAACGTGGTTCACTTCTAACATTTTCTCCTTACCTTGTCTCTTCAACCGGTGCTCTGACCGGAAAACCTAAAGAAGAGTTGGAATGCTGCACACTTCTGTCTACTACTAACCAGAAGGGGAATGATGGAACTTAGTCTCTTGAAACGCCACTGCTACTTGCAGAAGACCTCTTTCCTGCATATTTCTGCCACAAAACAAAGGAGAAAAGCTGCATTAGTTACAATGTTTGGAACCTCCTTATCGACAACGGCCCAAGCTCACTGCTAGTAGTTACTATTCTCTTTGGGATTTCTCCTTCGGACTTCCCCTCAAGGTTTTTAAAACGCGTCTGTTAGAGAGAGGTTTTCACATACTTATAAAGAATTATTCGTTTTCCTCCCCAACCAATGTGGGATCTCACAATCTCTTGTAGCTAACATTCTTAAAACACTGCCATATGTTACATTAGGATGACTGAAAAATGATTACATCATGATGATGGTAGCGACTCTAGATAAGTGGAAATCTAGGGTCGTTATACTATCTCTCTTGCCCCGGGGTGAGAAGGATGCCTCTCTGTTTTTTGGATCTGCCCCAACTAACCATTGGACACATGTTTGAAGTCTGTATGTCACTAAATTACTAGTCACATTGTTTTAGCCCCTCCAATGATTTGTCTCAGGGATGAGAGTACATGGTTACTCTCCCTGATTAATGCCCCGGGAAGCAGGAAGGGTGCTACACGACTATTGGACAAGTTCTCTCTCTCTCTCTGGGAGAGGTGTCTCTCTCTGTATTCTTGCCCTGGGGAGGGAGTACATGGCTACTCTCTCTCTCTCTGGTTTTTTCCCTTGGGGTGGGACTACGTGGTTTCTCTCTTTCCCTGGTTTTTTGCCCAGGGGAGCAGGAGGGGTGTTTACATGACTATAAGCCAAGTTCTTGTTGCCTCACCTGTTTCCCAATGCTGAAAGGAATATATTTGTACTTGATCATGTGCATGATTTGGCGCTTCATTGTCAGGACAAATAGAACAATCCAATAGCAAAGAAGAATAGGCCAGAAAACAGGAACGTCAAAGAGTGAGAAGAAGGTCATGAAGAAGGCAATACAAAAGGCTTTGGTGATGGCATACCTGAAGAACAGAAATGAGAAAAAGATTTAAGAGTCCACAAAGCCATCAATTCAACCAAATGATATCATCAAAGCAGCCAACCATTTCACTCCAGCCTCGAGCACTACCAAGCATTTGCTATAATTTGACACTCCAAAATTCTAAGAATACAATGGAATCATCAAAGCCAACCAGTATGCAGTGCTGCACAATTCACTAACACTACCCAATACAGTAGTACTTTCACAATTCATTGAATTTCCATCCTCAGGGAATGGCAGGTGTTTGAAATAAGGTTGACACTTGACAATATAAAACTATTCCACCATGAAATCATCAAATTCACCCCATCCCCATGCGACGACAAGTTTTTTTCAATATGTTTACACTTGGCAAGAAGCGCCTTACAGAAATAAATAATACACTCTAAACAACTATGATCCACTGATGTACATTCTGTCCTGAAAAAGGTTAATTTGGATAGAGATATATCTTCTCAACATAAACCCTGTAATTTATATGAGCCAGTAACATAAATACATTTTTTTCTATAGATATACATATACATATACATATACATATACATATATATATATAATCCGTATAACCTTTTACAAAATGGTTGAGGTTTTTGAAATACCAAATGCAGCACCAGATAGTAGTTTTCAGCAATGAAATCCTTTTAGTTACTTCTAGAAAAGGCCAGAACGGAGGTCACATAACAATTAGCCAAAAACTATATCCAAAATTGAATGCAATCAAACGCAGAAATCAAAATTACTAAACAAGCTAATGCAAGAGGAATACCAAAACTTGAACTCTGGAAGTCGGCGTATGAACGGCCTGAACTCATCAGACCCTTTAGTAGGCAAGGAAGCTCCGTCTAAAACATCAAGCTCAGGATCAACCTTCGGCGATAGAAACCCAATCAAGAGATTCAAGATATAGATTCCCAAGCCATACGACACAACATAAAACCCTTGAACATAGAAAACACGCAACACATAAATCGCCGCAACAACAAGGGTTCCCAACCACCTCTGAACCGGGTGAGGAGTGGATCGATCCAAGTAATACTGAAACGCTCTGGCAAAATCATTTCTCCATTTGGCCAGAGGAGCTACTGCTGAGGCTGCGTCGCCCTCAACTCCTTCCATAAAAAATTATCCCCTAGAATATCCTTCGAATTGTAAACAATGACATTAGGTTAACAAAACACGATCGAGAGCAAAATAAGAGCATCAATCTAATCTATCGCCAAGAACAAGAAAAGTCAAACGAATTTTGGATCTCCTGTTTCCGACCGTTCTCATTTTACTTCCTCTGATTTCAAACCACGAAACCAAATGGCAGTATCCAAAAGCAGTTCTCGGCAATAACAATTAGAAATGGAATTTACAGAACGAAATCGAGTTGAGCAGAAGAAAACCATGAAATCGGAGAACTAGGGTTCGGAAAAGGAATCGAGAAAATAGCAGAAACTGAAATCTAACCTTGAATAATCCGAAAAGCAAGAGGAAGAACAGTAAATGGATGAGAATCGGAGCGAGTCCGTAATTGAGAAGTAACGATCAATGAAGACGATTCCGTTGGCTCGGTTTTTTGGACCGAAATATTTCCCAATTATTTTCTCATTTTAAATATTTATTTTCCAATTACCGCTAGCCTTTCTTTTTTAATTTTCTTTTTTTCTCTCGAAAAAAAAAAAAGAAAATATATGAAAGTTATTGAATTGAATTAATAAAATCCATTTGAACAATAAATAAATATCGAAGGGTTGTTTTCATGAACTCTAAAAATAATTATTTTTAATTTTATATTGTTAGTTTGGTTCACTTGGCTTAATTTTTGGTTGATTTTTATTATTAATAAACGTGTATATTATATATTAATAATTTACAGAAAGACGGAAAAAAAAACAACGCTAGAAGGAGGGTTTGAACCTCCGACCTTGTGGTTAACAGCCACACGCTCTAACCAACTGAGCTATTCCAGCCATTTGTTCTATTAAATGAATTTTGTCCTTAAATAAATAATTATATACTATTATTTATTATGATTTATTCAATAATTTAAGTTTCATTTTCGCTTGTGTTTTAAAATAAAGAATTCAATACAAAAAATAAACGGTTTATTTTCACCGTGTCTAAAAACATTTTTAGTTCCAATTTAAAATTTTTGTTTTATCCGTAAATTTGAAAATGCTAGAATTATTAACGAGTGTTTGGCAAAATTCATTATCCACTTATGTTAAAGGATAGATACGGGACTTGACTCTGGGATTGAACGATGCAACACAAGAGAGAACTCGAGACGGAAGCTTTTCAAAGAATATAACACGTATGGTACAAAAAATGGATGAGTTAAAAGATGGTAACATTTGTATATGATGATATAAGTAAGTGTAAATTTTTTAGTTGAGTGGTGATTTAATATGATATTTAGTATTGATTTCTTCTGATAGTAGGGTTTTCTACAAATTTCTATTTCTACAAGTGAGGCGTATTGATGAATGTTGAGCAATGATTTAACAATACTGCCAAAAAATATAGGGAGACGCTATAAGGTTAAAATCCTCCAAAATAATAGAAAAGTCATCTCATTCAACATAACATCATCGACAAATATTAGTCGATCTATGAGGGTTTGTAGCCTACAGTTAGTGTCTTTCTCTTTTACTACGTTATCTGGAAATACAGAAAGATATCAGAGATTTCAAGTATCATAGTAATTATAAAAAGAAAAAATAGGGAGAGTGCTCGATTCCGTCATACTATAAAATCTGTTTAACCATAAGGCAATTTACAAATCCACAAAATTAGCTTACCTTTGAAGTGGAGAGTAAATAATTCAATTAAATATATATTTATTTTGAAACCTATCTCATTTAGAATCAAAATTAGCCCTATGAAAACAGAGTTGGAGAATATTTTAAAAATCAACCCAGAGGGATAATTATATAAAGATTCCAACCATTGGAAGTTAAAAACAATAAAACAAATATACTTGAAGAGAATAAAATCAAAGAAAATGCATTCAAGTTGAGTTAATTAAGTAATATAAGAGAAATATTGATAAAATCATTGCCCAACATGCAAAAAAGAGTAGATTCAAAATTATAATTCCACTTATTCAAAGATTCTGCTTTTGTTGTGAACTCTACTAGTGATGATAAGTGATGATAAGGATGGTAAATGAAAATCATCCATTTGGAAGAATCCCACACAAAGTTACAGAATTTACCTCAATATTGATTGGCCTTCTTCTATTGTTGGATCCTTCCTGTCACAACAACACATCAGTTTAAGTATATCTAATGTAACTTCAAACTTTTGAAATCCAACCAAAAAAATAATCATAATAGGTGTTGGATGAAAGTCCCACACATCGACTAATTTAAGGAATGAATGAATACTATCTCCATTAGAATGAAGTCTTTTGGGGAAGTCCAAGGCAAAGCTATGAGAGCTTATGCTCAAAGTGGACAATATCATACTATTGTGGAGAGTCATGTTCATAGGGACTACTTGTAAGGTTAGTCAAAAAGGGTTAAGATATAGAGAAAGCTAGCCAACCGAGTTTAATCTAAAAGTGCATTATAAGCTGCACTAAGAGATGCAGTGAGATAACCCTAAGAAACGCGGGCCAAAATGCAATATTCATAATGTCTAACCTTCTTTCTAAGTCTACAGTTTTTTCAGTAAAAAGTTGTACAAGATCTAACATTCCAGTTCTAAGTGTCCACCCAAAGTTGGATGTGCGTGAATAATAAGAGTATGCTATCTAAAAATGTTTGTGGGTGGGCCACATGATTGGCCAATTCTAGTAGAATATTAATCCAATAAAATTAAGTATTATTAGAATACAAACTAAACAAAATCATTCTTGCACAATAACAAGTGGACACGAGATAACTGTAGGTATTTATTCATTGCATGATGCACAAATTTCCAGTTTCACATGTATATTCGAAAAAGAAAAAAATAAAATGTGCATATTAGGCTAGAATTTAAAGTGAAGTATCAGAAAATAGCAATCAAATCATCTTTTGCCTAAAAAAACTAAACTAAACAAATAAATAAATAATTCTACCAATACTTCTTAGATTAATACATTATTGGTAGAGAAGAAATACAAATGTGTCGAATCACTTTAGCAATACTTAGTATGTAATTGGAGTAATTTTCAAAAAATACATTTCAACTGAAATAATTTTTTTCTATTAACATATAAAAAAAAAAAAAAAAACCTAAACCTAGCTTCTAAAAAGACAAGGTATTGCATAGTTCAAGAGGCCGTAGTGGAGTGGCATATTAATAAAAAGTTACATATCTTTTTAAATACTTAAATATCTTGTTGTTTAGATTGGAATCTGAATCTTAAACCCAGTGGGCTGCTACAAATTCTTCCGCACTAACATTCGAATCTTTCGTGCAACAAAACTTTCATTTAGACTAATATTTTTCTAAGTACAACAAAAATTTCCTTGTATATATTATTTAACCAACTCGTTAAATAAATCACACTATAGAGCCTCCCCCTAAGGTTTATGGAACCCTCAAACAACTTTCCCAACAATCATCCCCTCGGACAAAGCACACTCTAGGCTTTCTCAAAAGACTTTATACTAATGGAGATATATTCCTTATCTATAAATTCATGATCATTCTATGAATTAACCAACATGGGACTCTCCCAACAATCCTCAACACATTAGGTGTGTGAGGAGTAGATATGCACAAAAAAAAAAAAAAATCGATGGAAATATTTATATATATTTCCAAATATCTATTTATCAAATACAAAATAATAATATGAATATGTCATTAATAAATAGATCCCTGGAGAGTATTTTGTACTTAGCATCCTAAAGTTTCCATTCCAAAAGTTCCTAATTCGGGCATACTATAGGCCCTCTCAAAAGTTTATTTCAACATCTAAGCTAATGTTGGAAAAATGATTTGTATCAATGGTGACCGTTTTTTCCGGTTAAAAAAGTAGTGAGAGAGATGGTCCTACCTGTTCTTGGATTAAATTTATTGCAAGTAGCGGAAATATGCAAAAGGGGAACGGACCACTAAAAGGGAGGGAAGGTGGTGGTTTATATTGAAAGCAGCATTCAGTGTGTAATTGCGTAGGGTAAGAATTGGATCTAATCCTCCCACCAGCCTATTAAATCTTTAGAATTTCTCATTGCTGATGAAGTGACGATATTATAAGTGACAAGAACAGTGTTTCGAAATGATCTTACGACCCCTTGGTCGGTCACTCGAACTTTCTCAGGCAAAGGGAATCACTTCTAAAATGTATTCTTCAACTTGTTTAATCCCACTACCATCACCTTGACTATATAAGAGGCACTCACAGCCTACATTCACACCAGAACCTTGACTTAACTCCTCGCTTACAAGAGGCACTCAGAGCCTACATTCCCAGCTTTCCTTCCAAACTCCCTTAATATAATGGCATCAAATACTTTTAGATCTTCAGGCAGTTCAAGCTCCACATGGACGCCTAAGCAAAACAAAAAATTTGAGGATGCTCTGGCTTTTTACCCCGAGGACACACCAGACCGGTGGCAAAAAGTGGCCAGGGCCGTAGGTGGAAAAACAGCCGAGGAAGTAAAAAGGCATTATGATATCCTGGTGCACGATCTGATGCATATAGAATCTGGAAAGGTTCCTCTTCCCAAATACAAGCCCATTACATCCAACAGTATAGTGTGTGGTGATGAGCAGAGGTAACGTGCTATCTATCTACTCCTAAGCGTCTTTTTATGTCATATGTCAAGTCTCTATCCTACTTTCATCCTCGAAAAGTCATCCAAATCTCTGAGTATTTAGTTCATAGGGGAAAAGACATTCAAAATAACGTGGTTCTTACAAGAATAGATATTCGATGTTAACAGTAGAACAGAACTTCCATCAGCCTTACGAAATTGTTAAGAATTACAAATCTACGCTATGGTATAATATTGTCCACTTTGAACGTAAGCTCTCGTGGTTTTACTTTAAACTTTCCAAAAGGCCTCATACCAATGGAGATAGTATTTCTTACTTATAAACCCATGATCATTCCCTCAACAATTTCTTCGATCGAATAATAGTATACCTTTTCGTTCAATCCGTGTAGCTTTGTTTTTGTTATCATCTAAAAAGAACTTGTACCAATAGAGAAGTTTTCATTTACTTAAAAGAAGTTCTTCTAAATACATTCATGCATTCCCACAATCTCTCATGCTTTTCTAAGTTGCATGCACATGGTCCTGTATTTCTGAATTCAGACATCTACGTATTTATCCATCCCTTCTTTAACATTTGAATCTACTTCAGTACTTGGCCACAAAAACTGATTAAAAAAACTGGCAAAACTGACATGGGTGGATTAATTAAGCATCAAGTATGCCCGAGAACTCGCCTTAAAGTATAGCTCTGCTTCCTTGCAGATCAACTGTCCATATATTCACATTTAGAAACATTTAGCTAATCTTTCCATCGTTCTCTCTTTGAACTATTGTTGCAGGCTCATGAAAAATCTAAAGCTCCAATAAGGGAAGGTATTAGACCGATGATGTAATAAGAGCTGCAGAAGCGCTGTTCTCGAAAATTACAGGAATATGGCTGGGTGTCAGTGTTCTTTATTTTCACGCCCTGTTGGTCCTTTCTAGCATAGATTGCTAAACTATTGGTAACATGTGTAGCCTAAACTAAAGTTAAGTCGTAACCTGTTTGTTCTTGTACCTGATAATTCTGCTTTTGTGTACTTGTATGATTACTGTTTCATTCGCTTTCCAATCATTAAAAAAAAGAAAAGAAAAAGCAAAGAATATATATGTTTGCCTTTAGTGATTATCGCTACAAGTGATATTCCTAGTCTACGGACTAGCCAATGTGACGTCTAATCAAGTATAAAGTGGACGGATCAATCCAATTATTTCATCAAATAAGTGATCAACAGAACATGTGGGGACAGAATAATAAGTAAACAATGGAAATTATAAATTTGAGACCGAGCCAAGGAGATGACAAACTAAACACTTAAGAATTCAGAGGTAAAAAAGAAACAATAAAATTGGGGAAAGACGGGAAGAACAATAACTTTCGTGGTAAACAATTACGAAAAGAGGCATCGCACAAGATCCATTTCACAGACCTGTAGATGAGGTTGCGCATGTAAATCCTGATGATGGAGATGAGTAATTTCTCTGGCAAAATCCGTCTCAAGTGACTGATAAAACAATTTAATCCTGCTTCGAAAAACGAACAACAATTTGAGAAAAATGTCAATCAACATGACTTTCGATGTACACAACTATCGAAAACCAGACCCGGAATGTAACCGCTTATTAATACGGACCTGAAGACGGTGAAAACAAGATGAGAATAGGGTATGGACACTGGAAATCCATTCAAATTAAAGAACATCGAACGAATTGCAGATAAAATAACTGCGAGAGATCGGAGGAAGTCGCCATTGGAAGGAACAATTATCAGGCACCTGAATAGGATGAATCCGCGGTACAAGTAAAACCAGGATGAGAATGCGGCATATTGCCGCATGATCAAATATTTCAATACTGAGTTGAAAAACGAAAAACCAACATGCAATTTCAATGAAAAAAATCTCAAATCAACAAAAATTTCTATGTGAACAGTCATCAAGAACCAGAATCGGAATAAAACCGTGATAAACGATACTGACCTGTAGACGATGAAAACAGAATGAGAATGCGGCATGAATCAATATCGTTACGTTGAACGAACTGCAGATGAAATTAACAACAGTGAGAGATTGGAGGAAGTAGTAGCCATTGGGAGGCTCAATAAGCTCGAAGCAGATGGTGGAGGTGAAAGAAGAGACAAGAGATTGGGATTGATTCTTCTCGATTAGAAGAAGACGAAATGGCGGGAAATTTGCGGAGTGAAACGCGCTAAGAATGATCAGATCTTTCCTTTGTGTATTGCATGGAAAGCAATCTTAAGATCCTGACCGTTCATCGTGCAGAAAATTAGAGTACATCTGACAATAAGATCTTGTCCGTTGATTATTGGCAATATAAAACAACGAAAATCAAAGCTAAAAACATTGAAAATGCAAGCTACATCTGTTAAATAATTAAAATATTTATTAAGATAAACATAATTAAATAGAAAAATAGTAAATATTAATTTGTATTTTTATTAAAAATGCTATATTAATTATGCCCCTATGATAATAAAAAAATATATATTTATAATACTGATTAATCAAATGTTATTGACTCATTATATAATAGTATGATTATAAATTATAAATTACTAAATATTAATAATTTTCAAGTTGAAATTTAAATTCAATAGAGGTATATATTTTAGAGATCATATGAAATTAAATTATACCCCGGCTAAATTAATAAAAATATCCTTAAAATTAAAAAATACCTTTAAATTTTTTAAAAAATACCCTTAAACCTTTAAAAGTGTTCTAAAATATCTTTAAATTTTAAAATTTATTATAATTATTATATAATTTAAAAAAAATTAAAAAAATACTCTTACCATAAACACCCTATTTAAAAAATAACCAATAACAACTTTAATTTTTATATAAAAATAAAGTTTTAAAATATGCGAAAATTGTTTATTTAAAGTATATATATATATATATAAATACGTTATTTTTGAAACGTGTAATTACAGTTTGGTCCCTATACTAGCCGAAAATAATACTTTTTAAATATTTTTTTTTTTGAAAAGTTTAATTTTCGCATTTGAAATAAATAAAAAAAAAAAAAAAAAAAAAAAAAAAAAAAAAAAAA